TTTTTCTTCTTTCTCTTCTGAAAATTCTCTCCTTTCTTTCTTCTTTCTCTTTCTTTTTCTTTTTTCTTTTTTCTCTCTTTATCTTTCATTCATTATTTTTTCTATCTTTTTTCTTCTTTCTCTCTTCTCTCTGTCTTTCTTTCTTTCTCTCTTTCTCTTTCTTTCTCTTTTTGGGGCCTTACTCCTGACTGTGCTGAGGGAAAACTCCTGTTCAGCCTCTGAGGACCATGTATAGTGCTGAGAATCAAACCTGGGTCAACCACCTATAAGATGAACATCTTACCCACGGTACTTCTCTACAACCCCATGTAAATACATTTTTTATCAGCTTCTGTCCAAGGAAAAGTCAAATGTCCTTAAATATAACTTCAGTTTCCTACCAGTTAATAGGGAGATTTGATGCACCCACTTATCATCGGAGTCCAATTACCTTGCCTTATAAACTGATGATGATAATTACACTTCATCTATAGCATTTCTATCTTTCATGTGTGGAAAATAATTTGAGAACTATCACTAATATTTTACCTTAAGTGGGTATTTGGTGAACTGGGGAACTATAAGCTCTCATTTGCTTATTTTTATTTTGTTTGGGACCACACACAGCAGTGCTCGTGTGTGTGTGTGTGTGTGTGTGTGTGTGTGTGTATGTTTGTGTGTGTGTGTGGGGGGGGTGTTGTTCCTCGCTCTGCTCTAAGGAATCACTCCTGTCAGGCTCCGGGGTACTGTATGTAATGTTGGGAATTGAACCTGAGTCAACCATGTATAAGAAAAGTACCTTACCTGCTGTAGTGTCTCTGGTCCCACAAGCTCCCACTTAAATCCCTGAGCATAGTGGCTAGCTTCCTATGATTTTGTTTTATTCATTCTTACTGCATCCCTCTCTTCTCCTTGACTGTCATAATTAACCAGGGAAATCAAACAATTTCTACACATGTGGAAGGACAGTGAAGCTCAGGTGCTGCCATCATTTTCTGTTTTGAGAGGGGTGATCCAACTTGTAGACCTCCCAATTTATCCAAGTCCTTCCCCTACACCCCCCCCCCCAACTCAAGTTCTTTCCAGAAGACCTTGTACCCACTTGATACCAATTTCTACAATGAAGAGCTGAGTGAGGAGGCCCAGTCTCAGGAAGAGACAGGTGGCTCTGGCGCGAACACTGTAACACATTCTCCCCAGGGAGAGAAATTCCGAGAGTTTAGCTCACTCTTTCCTGCTATAAAGCACACTGAATGTTAACAGCTTGCTCCTGTCCAAGCTGGTGTTTTTTAAATTAAGTATTGTTAAATCCATACCATTTGGAATGATGCTTCAGACAGCCCTGACACTCTTTCTCTTGCTTCTGCTTTCACTTCACCTAATATATTGTACAGGGAGCTGGGAACCAGTATTAAGGCAGTGGAGGCTGCCGCCGCCGCCACTCCTGCTCAGACACTGGCAGACGGCTTTAATTTAGATACCTGAAGAGGAAAAAAAGGAACTCCGCCAACGCCCTGCTCAAATGCCATTAGGGGTCTTTCCCAGGCTGCCATTAATGTGGATCTCGATTACCTAGGGTTTTATGTTCTTTTCCCCCTGGCACTGAAAAGAGTTTTGGAAATGGCAAAGTTGGGAGACAGAAATTATAGACACATAAGATACTTTCCATTGTCAGGTAACTCAGACCCAGGGTAACACCTGGATACTCTGTCTTCTGCTTTTTTTGCCTTTTCTATAAACATCTCCCTTCAGCAAGTGTGACATCAGAACCCAACTGTGTTTCCATATTTGTGTGTTTGTTAGATACACATGTATATGCTTATGTGCCCTAAAATATAATTCATGTTAAAAACATACATGTGTATGAGATAAGAGCAATTTAGTATCGGGAGATCCTATTCAAAACCCAGTGCTAGACAGTGGGACATGAGACAAGTCACTTCAGTTCTACAGTGTTCAATTTCTACTAGTACAAAATGGAGAGAGATTATAACCAATCTGCCGAATAAGTGATTAAGATAAAATTAGTTTTTTCGTGTAAAATTATTTTGTAAGCTTTAAAAATATCTCATGAACTTTGATAACATCAAAATCAGTAGCTCTTACACATTTCTTTAGACCAGTCACTATAACTTTGTTTGACTTCTTTTTTCTGAATAAATACTAAATTTGGACTTTGTTTAACATTTGTTTGTATGATTTTTTTTTATACAGTGCAGGAAATGTTTTGTGCATAGGGACCAGCCAGAATTATGGCACACCATGATGGGCATCCTTGATCCATTCACTAAATAATTAAAGATTTGACTTAAAAATACTATTTAAAATTTTTTATTAGTGAAACACCATGAGGTACAGTTGTAGACCTACAAATTTTTGTGCTTGTGTTTCAGTTATACAATCATAGACTATCCATCCCTCCACCAGTGCCTATTTTCTACCACCAATGATCCCAGTATCCCTCCCAACCTTCATCCCCCCATCCTACCCTGCCTCTGTGGCAGGGCATTCCCTTTTGTTCTCTTTCTCCTTTTGGGTGCTGTGGTTTGCAAAAGAGCCATTGAGTGGCAATCATATTTGGTCTATAGTCTACTTTAAGCATGCATCTCCCATCCTGGGCGGATCTTCCCAACACCCTTTATTTGGTGCTCCCTTCTCTATCTGAGCTGCCTTTGAAGATGGTCAATTCAGTAAAGTCTTAAAAATACTACTTTATGACTTTACTGAATTGACCATCTTCTTGAATATTGATAAATCTAGCAAAACTCCAAGACTGACATCTCAACTAAAAATATTAGATATAGACAGGATTTATTTCAAAAGCAGAATGAATATGGTCGTTCTGACATTCAAATGGGTATCAGTTATTTTCTGACATCCCCCAAAATTTTCCCTATTCCAAGTATCTTTTCATTAGCATCGTTGTTATTATTCTTTCTTCCATTATGTTTTCTCCCTTTGAATCTCCTGAGTGACATATCAGTGTGAAGAGGGAGGAAAACAATCTGGCAATTCCTCTGCATAAAAGTAATTGGAACTACATAGCTAGTACTATGACAGGAGAAAAGAATGAAACAATTAAAAAAAAAACCTGTAGCAGAAAGTTCCAATGGATAAGAGAGAAATCTAATTAATGAAGCTTTATGAATGACAATTTATTTCACTATTTTTTTCAATGTAATGAACATTTCATATAATACCAGTTAAGGATTTTTATGTCTACTTATGAATTCTCTTTGCTTATGAGCATTAGTTAGCTTTGGAGAGGTTTGGAAAAGGAATATATTTGAAAGGAAAGGACATACATCAAGAATAAGACCTCCTTGTTGTACTGATACTCTCTTCCATTTTCATAGGTAAGGACAGGGTGAACCATTGTATGCCTTGACTTTCCTAACAGATTAACAATGGGTTTTTAAAACCTCTTCTATCTTGATATACAACATGAATTAAGTAACTTGACATTGAACAACCTGTTTTTCTTCATCATTTGAAAATAACACAAATACGTATGTTTGCAAGCGGACCTGCCTGTAGTCACATGATTAGTATGACTTGATGACATTTTCCGTATATGTGTGTTTCAAGCCCTTGTCAGTTTTGTTTATTAATGAAAGGAAAGAACGATATTTCTAAATATTCTCTACCTTTACCATATTTACTCCGAGCTATCAGGAGATATACAAAGAAAAAACTTCCCAGTAACAGACCCATGGAAATGTAAGACCAAGTTTGCTCTTTCATTCTTTTGGAAACTCAGTGATTCCCTTAACAGATAAGAGGAACAACATCCTTGTTTGGCTCTTGACACTTTTCTAAAGCTGTAATAAAATCCTCTTCTAGTAGAGCCAAATCTTGCATACTGGAGGATTAACCAGATTCAGAAGCTCCCTGACTTTCTCCTTGCTGCTGCTAGCCTTGTCATTTCACTGCGCATTAGCACTTCCTCCAGGTTTGGACTGAACCTCCAAGGTCATTGCATCTGTCCAACCCTTTTTGCAAAAGTGGAAGGAAGAGGAGGGAGAAATCAGTTCAGCCCTTTCTACTGCATTATAGTAGCTCTGATAAAGGATGTGGATAAGAAGGAGACTGAAACTGTTGGTTAAAAGGTTTTGGATTAGCTGGATTTAATTCATTCTTTTTTTCCCTCTCTCCTGCTAAAGCATAGTTGGGAGTTGGCAGTGGTTCAAAACCAGGCTATTCCTCAACCCCAATTTTTAGCCTCACTTATCCTGTAGTCTTTGTTAAGGACTTCTTTTTAAAACTAGGGGATCTTATTTTCTAATTGTGCCTTTAATGCTAAAAACCTTGGATTTTAAAACTATTAATTTCCAAATAAGGAACTTGCTCTCCCCTACCCCCGTTACCCCCAACAAAACCAGATTAGGTCATTAATACACAAAGTAACATACACCACCAGTTAGGTTTAGTGAGGAACTTGCAAAAACTTATATAGTCTCCCTTTTCCAAGTCAAGGAGAGAAATAAAGAGAAACTTTATGGAGGAGGGAAAAAACAGCTATACAGAACGCATTTAAAGGGCACATTAAGTCCGTTTTTGTCTATGGTTCTTTCCCTTTATGGCATATGTTATATATTGACAGGGATTAAGTTTCTCTCCTGAATGGAACAATACAGAGTCACAGGGAGCTACTGTACTTTACAAAGCAACAGGCATCCGCACAAGGGAATGGCAAATAGAATTTTATCCATAAAGAACTAACCAGGTATGTTAAAAAGCACAGGGCTTTGAAATTCTTTGCAATTCCGCATCTTTTGCATTTCTCTTCTTTCTCTGCTGCGCGATCTGCTCTCCTTTCTTTTTCATCCTTTTCCCCCCTTTTAGCTCCGCACAGTTACACTTTTTCTGTCCCCCTGGCTTTGTTATTCAGCATGTCTGATTAGCAGGAGCCTGATTGGCTGGCTGCCTGCTCTGAGAGAGATTCCATTCAGCTTACCCCCCACCCATCCACCCACCCACCCACCCCTTGGTCAGGAAATGTGAGCTGAGCTGATGGAAGCTGATAGGCAGGGCTGGAGTGTTAGCACCAGTACTGGATGTGACAGCAGGCAGAGGAGCACTTAGCAGCTTATTCAGTGTCGATTCGGATTCCGGCAAGGATCCAAGCATGGAATGCTGCCGTCGGGCAACTCCTGGCATACCGCTCTTCTTTCTGATTTTTCTGCTCCTGGTAAATGCCTTTCTTTTTAATACGTTTCTCTTTATTATTTAGGTACTATCTGGGGGTAGTGGTGGTGGTGGCAGAGGCGGTGTGTGTGTGTGTGTGTGTGTGTGTGTGTGTGTGGTGTTTCATCTCTAAATGCCAGGTAAAATAATTTACACGATTTAAAGAAAAAAAACATTCTTATAGAACTTCAATCCCAACTTCACAAGCAAACTAAAGTCTGCAAGACTTTGGAGAGTTATTTAGAGGAATCTAACAATACTAAGACATGAACTTTGGGATGCATTGCATCATGTACTGTGGAGTGTGTAAAGGTGGTGCATATGCTTAGAATTTAGGTAACAGACTTTCTGAAATTAAATGCCCTCACTATGATGTTCTTGGGATTTTTGAAAGATGTGCTATAAGGGACTTTCCCTTCCTGCTTTTCACAGTCTTCTCTCTGCACATGTGCTCTGGAATCAGGTACGAGCTTCTTTGCAGCCACCCAGATTAGAGCTCATAATTACTGCAAGTCATCTACAGATACAAGTTAATGCTAGCATTTATGAATTGAGGATTATGGTCTTTGATCTCAAACCTACTTTTGAAGAAGAAGAAAATGATGACATTTTGTATGGCTGCTTTTCACAGTCACAGTGATAAGATGCTCTGCTCTTGAACATCAGCACACACTGCATTTTTGACTCAAAGTAAATGTTCCATCGTGACTCATACTTGGTTTTATGGGCAGAAAATGAACACTCACTGTCCAAAAAAAATCTACACTCAAAATATTAATAGCAATGCACATTTTTTTAAACCAGAGTGTTCTGGGCAGGCAGTTTAGTAAACCTCATCTGAAAGTTTGATTCCAAAAGTTGGACACACTGACTCCAAACAAACGTGATTGAAACTCTCCGTGTCACATGGTGTGCCATGCAGAACTTCCTCAGAAAGTAACAACGCAAAAAGGGAACAAGGTAAAAATGCAGTGAATAGATGGGTCACTTTGAATCTTAGTAAAGAAATGTGATTTTTTTTCTCATTAGACTGACAATTTTGGTCTTCTCTATATACTTATCAAGAAGGAATATAATCATTTGGTACAGGTAAATATATCCAGGACGGTTAATCATAGTTAATAAGATAGTAATGAAATATTTTATATATTCCTAGTTATAGTAACTTTCATCATGACACCCAAGAAATCATAATACCTTGATGTAGATGCTATAAATATAGAATATATTTTCAAATTTTCACAGAAACTTAAAGAAACATTTACTTTAAGCATGAATGGACTATACATTTAGTTGTTCTGAGAAATATAAAAGACAGAATGTTTAGGAATGCCTTATGACTAGTGGAACAGCAATTTATGAAAGGTGTCTCATTTTTTCCATATGGGATGTATTACTTATATACACACACCATTAGTTTACCTTGTCTTTATATCTCTGTGATTTTTAAAAAGTATGTGTTATTTTCACATTAAATTGCATCATACAGTAAATTACCAGCACAAACTCTTTTGGTATCTTCCTATGGAAGTATGATCTCATTATGCTTTGGAAAAACTTGCCCAGGAAGAGATTGTTTTCTACCCATTTGGTAAATCCATCATGTCCCTCTTGATATATTGAATATTCATATATGTATTGGAGCATATAGTCAGACTTACACGAATAAAAAGGAGAGTTTTCTTATTTAGAAGTATCTAAAATATATTTTATTTCATTTCTATAAATATATTACATAAATGGAATCAAACCCAGGGTTGTTTTATGTATGCATTTAAGTGAATTGGGTGAGTTGTACTAAAAAAAAGAAAGAGAATTAACTGGTTAACTCCTAAATACACCTCTGTGAATAGTAATAATGCCCTTATCATGCCTGCTCATGTATATGTCTAAAGTATTTAACATTCAGTTGTTTAAAAAACTTTACAATCCTCCCAGGAGGGGAGATGCATGTCGAAAGTAGACTATGGACTGAACATGTTTGCCACTCAATGCCTCCTTTGCAGACCACAACACCCAAAAGGAGAGAGAGAACACAGGGGATTGCCCTGCCACAGAGACAGGGGGGATGGGGGGATGGGGGTGGGAGGGATATTATCCTTGGTGGTGGAAAATGGGCACTGGTAGAGGGATGGGTATCTGGTCATTGTATAATTGAAACCAAAGCACAAAAAATTGTAAATCTACAACTGTAAAAAAAATAAAATAAAATAAAGGGGGAAAAAAAAAACTTTACAAGAAATCCTCACAATAACCATAAAATAAGAAAGTCATATTAAACCCATTTCATTTGTACACACATTTCAAGCAACAAAATAAAATAAATAGTTTTCTCTAGTCTATGGATGTTTCTTAGCAGTGATGGAAGCAGTGGTACAGGTTGGTCTATATAGTGTTTGTTGGAGATATATAGACTTTTTGTATCTTGGTAATTAAAGATGTGTATAATAGGAACTTATTACACTTACTCATTTGTTGTCCAAAAAATTTTTTAGCTTTGCAGTCAAAATTTGTTTTACTTAAGAAAAAGTGACCTTTAGTTTGATCAATATTTAATTTAGAAGTAGAAACATGATGTCAGTTCAACCTTACATTTATTTAAAGAAATTTAACTTGATTTGCTTTTCTTTATAGTTCTGTTGTATATTGCTAAGTTTAGAATTAAAGTAATTCCTATAGATTCTTTAAATGGAAGCATCCTGTTTGTTTAATGGAAAGTACAGTTTTTAATCTCAAAACAGCCTTCATATTACTGACAGTTGAATCATTTGTATCATGACTTGGTTCTTGATTGTGTATAAATATTGACTGCTGGTCATCCTCAGATTTTAAAAGTCCTTTTCCCTTGGAACATTATTCTTGAGAGAAAGAGGTCCTTGTGTCTTTTGTATCTATTTTAGGTTACCTCCCATATATTTATGCAAAGCTCACACTTTCTTCTTGCTTTGAACACAGTGGAACAGTAGGACTAATAAAAGATTTTATCCTGGTGTTCTAGTCAAATTCAACTACGCAACCCAACCTTTCCCCATTTTCCCACCCTGCTCCCATTTCTCATTCTCCTTCTTTTGTCCTAATTGTTTAGCTCAAAATAAATGTGGCAAAGACCATGGCTGGTCACAGACATAAGTATCCATCCAAACTTGAAGTCAAATCACTTCTTGTCAGAAAGGCATTTACTTAAATTTACATTTACTTTTTGTTTCTTTTAAGTTGTTTGAAAGTCTTTTGCTTGCTATTATAGAAGATGCAAGGCTAACACTAGGAATTATAATACAGTACATGTGTTTTTCTGTTGAATTTCTTTTGCTTCTCTGCACTAATTTATACATGGAAACTAGTCAAACACAATAGCCTATTCCCCTCAGCAGTTGCTTTGGCACTTTCCTCCACTATTATCTAAGTGAATCTATCTTGGATGGCAAGAAACACCATTAGCTATGGGATGAATGTTAAATCCTTTATTTACAGCAAATTGTGGTCTTTTTCCTGTCTCTCTGTGTGTGTGTGTGTGTGTGTGTGTGTGTGTGTGTGTGTGTGTGTGTCTGTGTCTATGTCTGTGTGTGTGTGCAGTAAAATACACCTTCTTATAACTCCTTACCTCAATTTCTTATTCTTATAATTCATTTATCTTTAACACTTACAGATATTTCATAAAAATCTCCAGAAAATAGTGAAGCATTTCTTTCAACCTTATTTTAAACATTGTCTTCTTCATGTATATTTTTGTCTACACACAGCCAGCTACATTTTTGTTTTTACAGGCTCCTGTTTTTAGCATTTTTTGTCTGTTCAGGACCGCTCTTTGACCTCCTTATAATTTTCATGTGAATTGATTCTATATGCTTCATATAAGTTGAAGGAAGTATTCCAATAGTGGTCACTAGTGAACTACAAATGATTCCTATTATACTAGCAAAGTTTTTTCTTGAAAAAATTACATGGATGATGAAGACCTTTGAGAGAAATAAAGTAATGAATATGTTTATTTGTGAATTTATATAAATCATAATACATGTTGATTACCTTTTACCCACAGCTTTAAAAATGTGGAGAGCAGGGGCTGGAACAATAGTACAGCGGGTAGGGTGTTTGCCTTGCATTCCGCTGACCCGGGTTCGATTCCCAGCATCCCATGTGGTCCCCCAAGCACCGCCAGGAGTAATTCTTGAGTGTAGAGCCAGGAGCAACCCCTGTGCATGGCCGGATGTGACCCAAAAAGCAAAAAAAAAAAAAAAAATGTGGAGAGCAGTCCTTTGCATACCCCGAGGAAGCCTATTACCAAATTTAGCTGTTACACAAAGTTCATTCTTACATCTTAAAAGCAAAATTCAGGGTTAAAGTCAGGGTTTGTGTATTTTTAATCAGTAAAGTGTGGTTAACCTCTGACTTGTGGCTCATTTATTTTAACCTACTTTATTTTGGTGCATTTTGTGCAGGAATTACATTGGGATGTGACATGGTCTGGTGTTTTGGTTCTCCCCTATTTTTTACATGTCAATTTAATTTTTTCCCTTTTTGAGGGGGAGTGGTGCTATTACTCTCACCCTTTGATTTAAGCATTTTAATGTTTTATGCTTCTGGTTTTGTGACCTTACCCACTCATGCTTAGGGACTGTTCCTGGTCCTGTGCTCAGTAGTGACCTCTGGCGGTGCTCAGCAGCCCATATGTGGTGCCAGGAATTTTAATCTGTGCTGAAGGCTAATACAGCCATATAGAAGGCAAGTGTCTTACCTCCCATACTAACCCTCTTGCCCCCTTACTGAATATAAGTTTAAACTCAGGAAATATATAGCATAATATGGTATTTTCTATACTACTGTATATGTAGGCATTATTATTGTGGACACAATTAAGAGAGAAGAATATTTAGGAAGACTATCACGTAGTCCTATAACTATCCACATAGCAGTATTTTCTAGTGTCATATGTATATATATACACATATATGTATATATATTACAGTTTATTTAGTCAAGTGACAGCTCTGCTCTCTGTTTTAT